ATTTTGCTGGTCTTATTGTTGGCTTACAAATATTTCTTAATTATCATATACTACGTCTAAATAGTTGGTATGGTAGATTTTTTTTTTTCGCACCATTTTAATCAGCAAGGCTGTTTGGGACTTTTGAATAATTATTTCAATAATGCAATTGTTAAAGTTTGTCCACGTTTTCAGTTTGGTACCTTCACCTTTTCCGTTTCTCTTACTTCTTTAAGGTTGGTTAATTTTTTCGTTAATGCGATACAATTAAATGTAGTAACCTTTTTTTTTTTTTTTTTTCTTTTTTTTACAGTGTGATTGGAGAATCGATTCTTGCCATCAAGACTTTGTATAAATAAGTGGGAGCTAATATTGCAATCAAGACTTCGTATGGACGAGTGGGGGCTAATAAATGTTCAAACTTAATAATTGTGTTCTTATTAAACCCCACACCGCTAATTAGGTTGCACATTACATCTATAAACAGCTCCATTAGGGCCATGAATAACACAAAATATTCTCCAAGCTACCTAAGCGAGTGTTTAGAAAACATTGTACCTGGACGCCGAAAAGTGGTACCTTTAGTTCAAAAATGTGGTACCTTTGGAAAGTAAGTGGTACCTTCACAAAAGGCACTTATTTTTGCAATTGAAAATGGTATTACACCCCACATCGCTAATTAAGGAGCACATTAGATCAATAAACAGCTCCATTAGGGCCATGAATAACACAAAATATTCTCTAAGCTAGCTAAGCGAGTGTTTAGAAAATATGGTACCTGGACGCCAAAAAGTGGTACCTTTAGTTCAAAAACGTGGTACCTTTGGAAAATAAGTGGTACCTTCGCAAAAGGCACTTATTTTTACAATTGAAAATGGATTACACCCCACACCGCTAATTAAGGAGCACATTAGATCAATAAATAGCTCTATTAGGGCCATGAATAATACAAAATATTCTCCAAGCTAGCTAAGCGAGTGTTTAGAAAACATAGTACCTGGACACCGAAAAGTGGTACCTTTAGTTCAAAAATGTGGTACCTTTGGACAATAAGTGGTACCTTCGAAAAATTACAAAATAAGTGCCTTTTGCAAAAGTACCACTTATTTTCCAAAGGTACCACATTTTTTAACTAAAGGTACCACTTTTCGGCGTCTAGGTATCATGTTTTCTAAACACTCTCTTAGCTAGCTTGGAGAATATTTTGTGTTATTCGTGGCCCTAATGAAGCTGTTTATTGATCTAATGTGCTCCTTAATTAGCGATGTGAGGTGTAATACCATTTTCAATTGCAAAAATAAGTGTCTTTTGCGAAGTTTCCACTTATTTTCCAAAGGTACCACGTTTTTGAACTAAAGGTACCACTTTTCGGCGTCCAGGTACAATGTTTTCTAAACACTCGCTTAGGTAGCTTGGAGAATATTTTGTGTTATTCATGGCCCTAATGGAGCTGTTTATAGATGTAATGTGCAACCTAATTAGCGGTGTGGGGTTTAATACCATTTTTAATTGGAAAAATAAGTCCCTTTGAAAAGGCATCCAGGTACCATGTTTTTTAAACACTCGCTTTTTGCAATTGAAAATGGTATTACACTAGGGCCTCTACAGCTGCCTAATCCTTTTCCGTTCCAAAAGAAAACTCTGCATTGGATTTTCATGAATTAGTATTGTATGGCTTATTATACTAGGCCCTCACTGAATTTTCTTCGACTATTACACGGTACCTGGAGGCCAAAAAGTGGCACCTTCAGTTAAAAAACGTGGCACCTTGGCAAAAGGGACTTATCCATTTTCTACTCCAATTGACCATTCATCAATGTTCCAAAACAGGAACTAAATCCATTTGTCAAGAAAATCATCAATTTCCTAGCACTGCTGTTGAAAAATTTATAAATTTTCTTATTAAATAGAAGAGCCTAACATGTCTTTATTAAACAGAACAACCAAAATCCATTACTTTTCATTAAATCAAAACCATCAAGTCAAGTACCATGTCTACAAAATACTTTAAGTCACCACGAATAATGTCAAAAAAGTTATCATCCATCCAATCTAATAAAGTCAACAAGAAATAAAAAAACTAAATCACTAAATTTGAAGGAAGCAATCATCTTTTGCAAAATAAGAACACAATTATTAAGTTTGAACATTTATTAGCCCCCACTCGTCCATACGAAGTCTTAATTGCAATATTAGCTCCCACTTATTTATACAACGTCTTGATGGCAAGAATCGATTCTCCAATCACACTGTAAAAAAAAAAAAAAAAAAAAAAAAAAAAAAAGGTTACTACATTTAATTGTATCACATTAACGAAAAAATTAACCAACCTTAAAGAAGTAGGAGAAACGGAAAAGGTGAAGGTACCAAACTGAAAACGTGGACAAACTTTAACAATTGCATTATTGAAATAATTATTCAAAAGTCCCAAACAGCCTTGCTGATTAAAATGGTGCGAAAAAAAAAATCTACCATACCAACTATTTAGACGTAGTATATGATAATTAAGAAATATTTGTAAGCCAACAATAAGACCAGCAAAATATAGAATGAAACATTTTTTACTAAGCAAATAATAAACTTGTTCATAGTTTCACTACAGCTGAAATGAGGTTTGTAAGAAACATTAAGGGTAAGACTAGGAAGATAGCTTAAGTATGAATGAGACCATATTATCCATGGGTGGTAAAGAGTGTTAAAAATACCTGAGTCTAGGGTTAAAACATTATACACACATTAGTTTAGAAAACAAATGCTACCAACAAAAATTGTTCATTTCAATTTTTAGGAATTTTCAACATTAAAAGGCCTATCCATTCTATCCTTTTAAAATTTTAATGCCACCAAATCTCTTGCACTCACTAAGCTATCAATCATGCTCACTACAAAAACATATTCTTACTAAGCTTGCCCTACAACAATGAGTGATACAAAATCATCCATTTAAATGATCCAGTATAATATGCTACTCCATTTAAAAGAGTCAATGGGACCAATAATTTACTGATTTAGGATCACAATAAATAGATGACATTGAAAATATGATACCAAATAACCAAAGTGGTGCTAGAATGTAAAATGGGACAACTGCCCCCCGTTCGAAGAAAATCTGGGCAGCGGATACCTCAATATTTTTTAGAACATTCGTTTGACATCCGAATTGAGAAAACATAATTTATTTTGAAATTAAACTTATTGAATTATAAATCAGGAATTTTTTGGAATTTTTGGAGGTCAACAAGTCGGTCAAGTAAAATGTTCAAAAATCAAGTTACAAAAATCAAGTTATAGCCATTCCGACTGGTCTAAAAAGGCTTGACAAATGCCTCCTTTCAAATTCTAACACTGCCCATTCAGTCGTGTCATTGTGGTGAAACATACCTTCAATGTCGAAGGTAGTCTCAAAATCCATACGTTTGGTACGCCACGGGGCTTTGGGAGTCTCTTTGGATGGTTTCAAACGTTTGAAAGAAGAAACATGAGTCATTTTTGTAGAGTTCAGGCTTTCTAGTGAAAAAGTTTTGAGACTGGCAACACCCACTTTGTAATAAACTGCAGATTCAACTAAGTGCATCAATTCTACTACAATGACAAACCAAAATCCATATCAATAAATCCGCAAAATTCAACAACCAACTATCCCAATCACCAATTCAACTCTAAACAATTACCCGAATCAAGCACCCTATGCACAATCCAAATCCAACAACAACCTAACCCAACACCCAATTCGGCCACTGTGAAATTTTTTCATGTTTTTTTATTTTATCAATTCAACTCTTTTTTTTTTTTTTTTTTTTTATCATCAATGTATATTACAAAGGGAACCCAATCAACTACGCAATTCACATGCAAAAGAGTACCCAATCAACAATTCAACCATTCAGACCACTGCCAACAACCACCATACACTCAACACTTACCGAAAAAAATTTAATTACTTCAAATTTTTTTTATTTGCTGCAAAATAAGTACTTTACCAAAAAAAAAAAAAAAAAAAAATTCTTTAATTGCTTCAATTATTATTTATTTTTTTTAATTTTTTTAATTTATTATTATTATTATTTGTTTGTTATCAAAATCAGCACTTACCCACAACTCGTCGGAGAAGAGCCAGCCGAAATCGCCGGCGAGACAACGAAGCAAAGAACAACCAACCGACAAGCTTGCTAGAAGAAAACAGTCAAAAATCGCTGGAGAATGGCGACCCACAAGCTAGCCGGAAAGACCCTGCCGCGATCAGAGAAGAACCCAGCCGCGACTCACAAGCTCGCCGAAGAAGAACGACGCAATGAAATCGTTGGAGAACACCGATGCAAAGAACCCAAATCGTCGGAAAGAACGGCGATTCAGAAACTCGCCAGAAGGAACCCAGCCGGAATCGCTGGAGAAACCGGCGATTCAAAAGCTCGCCGGAAGGAACCCGCAACCCAACAGCGATCGCAGGAGAAGAACCAGCCGGAATCGCTGGAGAACACGGCGATTCACAAACTCGGCGACCCAAACTCGGCAAAGAAAAGCAACCCAGAACCATGGCGCAGGAAATCACAACCGCGACACCATGGAAGATGAGAACGAACCATGAGGGATGGACGAAGGAATTGGGAGTGGAGGTTGGGTTTAGAGAGTTGCGGGGAAAGAGAAGAATCGGTGAGGACAGATGAAAAATTCGGAGGGAGAAGAAGAGTGATTTATTTGGGGAAAGGGTATTTTAGGCAACACAGAAAAAAGGGGAAAGGGCATTTTAGGTAACACAATTTTTAAACAGTATTTCTCCATGTGCCACCTCAGCTTTTAGGTCCAACTCATTTTAGGGAAATTATAGGACTTTGACTCAGCCTCTAAGTAAATATGGTGCCTTATTCCCATTTATATGTAATAATCCCATTTTTTTTCACCTTATCATCAGCAAAACAATTATATTATAGTAATTCTGAATCTCTTACAGTTGTTTATATCTTATATATATATATGTAAATTTGACATTTAAAAAAAATAATAATAATAAAAAAAGAGTAAATTTCTTACAAGTCCATCTTTCTTTCCGTGAATCCATCTAGGAAGCATGTGCATTTCTGAAAATCTAAAGTAATTTCTTCACTCTCCCTCCACAACGCCAGCGCCACGTTCGCCTCTCTAACCGCTTCGATCATCATCACCGCCCTCATATCTCTCTCCACCCTCAAATCTGGAGGTACATCAATAATTCTTGGAAACTTGAAGAAGCTCACAACAATGGCCATCACTCACTCCAATCTCACAGGTACCTTCCCAAAAACTAGCATTTGAATATTAATTGCATACACCTGTCTGCTAATAAGCTCAAAGGAAAGATATCCACTTCCTTCTCTTAGCTCCAAGTTGATTTCTTGCGTTAATCTCAATCTCAACATATCTAATTCTTGTAGAGTTCTTATCAATTTTTATTTGCACATACAATATATATATATAGAGAGAGAGAGCAGCGATACAATTCATGAAGTAAATTTCAATATGTGCATCATGAATAGTACTGCCGTTACTTTCAAAGTTCATTCTAACCCACTTTTGTATTTACCCTTTTTTTAAATAGCTTTTTTTTTTTTTTTTTTTAGCTCCAAGTCCATTTCTTGCATTAATCTCGATCTCAACATATATATCTATATAATCTAGATCTGAGTATGTTTTTTTCAGAGATAATTTACTAGCTCACTCAATTCCACGGCATGTTGATGGAATTGAGACTCCTCGCTCGCCCGAACAAAACTTTAAGCATGTTAGAGGTACGTATTTCTCCAACTATATATATATATGTGTGTGTATATCTTTTAGTTTCTTCAATACTTACACTTGTAGTCAGTGACGGAGCCAGGATTTCAAGTGGGGGGGGCACTCTGCCAAAAAAAAAAAAACAATACGGAGTATATATATATACATACCAACTATAAAATTCAAAAGACAAAGGAAAAAAATATTATTAAAATATAAAAGAAAAGAAAAATGAGAGAACTTTAAAAGGAAATAGTTGAAAAGTTTCAATTGAGGAAGAAAAATTTGACTTTTTTTACTAAGGAAATTTAAGCAATGTGAAGAATAAAAGAGAAAATAAAGAAAAAATAAAAATATAATTTTAGGAACTAGAAATTTGAGGGGGGCACTATATAAATTTTTTTATATATATGAAATTTTTTTAAAAAATTACGACATATATTATAGGTTGCTGACCAACTCAGGGGGGGCACGTGCCCCCCCAAGGCCTTCATTGGCTCCGTCCCTGCTTGTAGTTCTCTGTTATTTCATTTTTTTTTTTTTTTTTTCCATAATTGGTTTTGTATAAAAAGAAAAAAAAAAAAAATATACAGGTACACAGAGGGCATACCCTCAGTAAACATTACTGGAAAAAAACAAAATCTGGACTAGGAATCATTTCCAGTATACAGGTGCAAAGAGGGCATACCCTCAGTAAACATTACTGGAAAAAACAATATCTGGACTGGGAATCATTTCCAGTAAAATAAAAAGAAACAAAGGAGTGGAAATTATATAATAGCTCTAAGTGAGACATTATAAAAATCAAAGACTTCTAGTAAAATTTTCCTAGCCACCTCTGATGTAGTACTAGAGCTGTGTCCATGTAGTCTTTGATTTCTTTCTTGCCAAATACTCCAAAAACCAGCTACAAGTATAGTGTGTAACATTTTGCTGATCTGAAATGAGAACCATAGCAGCAAATCATCCACTGAGTTAATAGCAGTTAAGTCCATATTCCAACCAAGAGTATCCTTCAACCAGTTCCAGAAATTCTTAGCAAAAGGGCATTGGACAAAAACATGATTTTTGGTATCAATCTGCTGTTGACAATTAGAGCATCTAGGAGCCAGCTGCACACTCCTCTTCTACAGATTAAACATTGTAGGTAACCTGTCTTGGAACAAAAATACTCCAAGGATTGACTATCTAGGTCTAGCTTTCCCCCAACAAATCTTGGACCATATAACCTCTGGGTTAGTTATTCTACATCCTATAACGACCCACTCCACCACATGGTATGATATTATCCGCTTTGGGCCTGAACCCACACGGTTTTGATCTTGGACTTTACCCCAGAAGGTCTTATACCAATTGGAGTGAAACACCTATATATAAGCACTTCACCTTTCCCTTTCCCAGGCGATGTGGGATTGTGCACCCGTAGCTCGCCAGTGTGGTAGTCTGTCAGTGTCTTGCACCCGCCCACGATACACCCGCCCACAAGGTTATCACAATCTACCCCCCTTGGAAGCCCGACGTCCTCGTCGGCACACTTTCGATTGGTTCAGGTTTTGATACCATTTGTAACGATCCACTCCACCACATGGTATGATATTGTCCACTTTGGCCTGAACCCGCACGGTTTTGCTCTTGGCTTTACCCCAAAAAGCCTCATACCAATTGGAATGACACACCTACATATAAACACTTCACCTTTCCCTTTCCCAGGCGATGTGGGATTGTGTACCCATAGCTCGCCAGTGTGGTAACCTGTCAGTGTCTCGCACCTGTTCACGGCACACCCGCTCACAGGGTCATCACACATTCCTTCCAAGCTTTTTTGAAATTAAACTCACCTCCATTCCACAAAAGTCGATCTGGTGTAGCATGAATAGACAGTGTGTGCAAATAATCTTTTATAGGCCTGAAGATTTCGTCCTGTAAGAGATTAAAATTCCATCTTCCTTTTATAATGAGACTTGACAAAGGAGTAGACCAAGAGAACCCCACCCTTCTTTCCTTTCTGTGCCCAAGTTTCTGCAATAAAGTTTTCCCTTCACACCAAGGATCTGTCAAGACTTTGAATATATGCCCAGTTCCAATAGAAAATTGAATATTTGTCAGCATTATTTCCCTAACATATACCAAGGTTTTCCACAGAATTGAATGAGAGGTCTTTGGTATTGCATTCCAGTATGTTGAGTTAGAAGCATACTTGTTTTGAAACCAAGAAACCCAAAGCCTGTCCTTACTCAATAAGTAATCCCATGCTAGAACACAGTAAGCAGCAACCTGTACCTCCTTCAGCTTTCTGGGTTTTTTTTTTATTTTTTTAATGTACTTTTGGTTTTAATATTAGTGTAAATTAAACATGGTGCTAACTTCATATAGAGGATGCTTTTCCTAGGAGCAAGCAGTAACATGGATGTCTTAGGCACCTATGTTTTTTTTTTTTTTTGGTAATTAATATTTTATTGGTGTGTTGGCTACAGGGAATATGTTGTTTTATATTGTCAATTCCTAAAAAGACCATACAAAATTAAAAATCATGTTTAAAAGTATTATTTTGTTTTTTACAATAGAATATATATATATATTTTTTGGTGAAAAAATAAAGAAGAATAAACACATAAAAAGGTGTTTATGTTGGCACTGTGGTGCAAAAACATTTTCACTATTATTACTACACATGCACGGTTCATTCAAACAAAATTCATGATAGTCATGTTATATACTAAGTCTACATATTAAATACTAATAAAAAAATCTTTTATTAATATATAATGTTTGCATAATAGTGTAAATTCTGTTTTTATTTTATAAAAATTATGTTTTAAATCATAATATATTACTATATAATAGTGTAAATTATATTTTGAGTCAAAATTAATTATGATTTATTTTATACTTATATGTATAAATGGTGCATACACAGTACTTATATACATAATTGGTGAGAATATTTTTGTTTTAATATACACTTATGTATTAGGTATTATTAGGATTTTTTTATTTTAAATTGAATATTGCATTTATTATCATATATTGACTATGGTTAATATTTGTGAAATAATTAAATTACACATGTATTTTAAGGCTTTCTGACACTAGTGGAAAAGTTCAAAATAAAATAAAAATAGATAGCTGTCCATTCCTTACAAATGGACAGCTTCTTGAGGAGATTAAATTTACCCCCTCTACCATGAATGACTTTAGACATGTACAGAGTATCTTGCTGTAACATTTTCTACAAAGTTCTCTAAATTACGTGCTAAAAAGATCCAACCTTTGCTACCCTTCCTTGTGGATAAGTACCAGACTGCCTTTATTAAGAATAAAAGGATAGGTGACAATATGTTCATTGTTCAAGAGCTTTTGAAGGAGTATGTCACACCCCGAATTCCAGTGACACAGTACATGAATGGATAATCGAAAAGCCAACCCAAATCCTGAGTAAAAAAAAATGAAAGCGAATACAAAGGAAGATGTCCATAAGGTGAACACCACCCCTAAGACAATAAAAGAATCACAAATGAAGTTAACAAGACATAAGCACGAGTGCAACTATGGAAGCTAAAGTTACCTTGCCAAAACGGTCACAAATGCGGAAGTTAAAACCCTATACTAGCCTATATGGCTAAAGTGGCCATGAACAGTGAGTCAAATATCATATATATATATATATCCTAGATTATTTATTTATTTATTTATTATTATTATTTTGTCATGGGTTCTTTTCTCTTTTTACAACTAATATATATATATATATATTGACGGGTAATGATACATTAAATGTATGTTAACGACAATCTAAGAGAGTGGGAGTAAGTAGGCACGAATCCAGTATAGGCTCCCACTGAAATTTTTTTCTTTTGCATTTTATACTTATTAATTTTGTTTTATTTTATTTATATACTTACAAAATTAAATTTTGACCGCCCTTGAAATTATAGAAAAACTTCACTAATGCCCCCCCCACACACATTTTTGTTAAAAGTCGCCCCCACTCACATACTTCTTTGGGTCCGTCCCTAGGAGTAAGTGACCACTGACTCTTTGGCCTTTTGGATGGAATGTAAATCTTGTGTATGTGCAATCACTCATAAACCATACATATCATTTAAATCAGTGTGTTTTTGTGCCTTGTGAGAATTGAACTCAAGATGTCCGAGTTTAAGGCTCGCCCCTTGAGACCCCTTAACTACTTGGAAACTGTATTTTTCATATTCTATTTCTATTGTTCCCCAGTGCACCTGATAAGAAACATTTCTAAAAATCTATTTAAGAATTCAAATATTCCTATTTTATAATATAGTTCTTCAAATTCACATATTTTTTTTTATTCATATAATTTTTTTAATCAAAATTTATTTAAATATTGGATCGTCAAGCTCTCGATCTCATACCAACTTTAGAGCTTTTGGGGGTTGTAGGTGCAAAAATTCGTCCACTTTGAAAGTCAAAGAACGATTGCTAGACACTCAATGAAAATTATGAACACTAAGGAATAGAATCAACTTGTCTATATATTTATTGGAAGTCTAAGCCTCTATTTATACAGATTCATGGAAGAATTAGGGTTTGACTCGCATTGCTTGCCCCCCACGATCCTTCCATAGTTGATAGTTTCCTTCTATATTTCTTCAATATAAGAAGTTATAAGTACAACTCTGGTGGTTGGTGGATTATGCAAGTTGGGCTTCTTTTCTTCATGGACCACCACTTGGCATCCAACTCCAGATCCTGTCTTTGTGACTCAATCACTCGACCAACAAGTGTAGGCTGAGCCACGAGACTAAATAAAAATGCTAACTTACTGCCATCATCGTCATCATCACAATGCAATCCCATTTGTGCCAAATCCTCCAACATCTTCCATTTCTAAATGACTAAACTAGCCAAAGTGCTACGAGACTTCCAACTTAAGGCGTTTGCTACAACGTTGGACTTTCTCGGATGATACTGCAAATAAAAGTTGTAGTCCTCTAGGAACTCAACCCATCGTCTCTGCCTGTTGTTTAAGTTCTTTAGTGAGAAAAGGTACTTGAGGCTCTTGTGATCAGAGAATACCTCGAACCACTCACCATATAAATAATTCCTTCAACACTTTAAAGTAAACACAATTGCCGCTAACTCCAAATCATAGGTAGGGTAGTTAAGGTCGTGAGTCTTCAACTGTCT